AGTCAACATCTAAAAACAATAAAACATCATAATCAGACAACCATCATAAACCAATATCATGGCTGACAACAATAGTGGCGTCGGGCTCAGGATTCCTAGAAGCAATTATTCCTATGAAGCGCCAATGGCAAGTTATCAGTAGCTGTGCATCAAATTGAAAGGAGGTCTCAAATGGAGTGCTACAGGATTCTGTTCTGGTACCAACACTTTTCAATGATTAATGATTTAGAAATTGGAGGGGCACAAATCCTTATCAAATTTGCAGATGGTACAGAAATGGGAGTGGAAAATGAGAAAACTGGGCTGCAATAGATAAAATGAAATTCAACAGACAGACACAAATGGAAATTCTACATTTAGGTTATAAAAAGCACAAATACAGGATGGGGATACTTGTCTCAGCAATATCACACGAGAAAGGAATGTAGAATTATTGCTTATTCATAACAATGAGCCAGCAGTGATGCTGTAGCAGAAAGAAAAAAAGAAAAAAAGGACTGATGTTATCTTAGCCTGCATTAATAAAAGCATAATCTCCAAGCTGAGAGAATACTATATTTTGCACTAGTTCAGGTTTACTATGTTTAGTTCTGGCATCTCATTTTGAAAAGGAAACAGACAAATTGGAGCAAGTTCAAAGAAGGGTGATAAAGATGGTAAGAGGTACGGACAACAAAAGATATGATGAGATATATTGGTTATGATCAGCTTGGTAAAAAGGTGATTGAGAAGAAGCAGTTAATAGTTTATGGTGTTTAATTGAAGTGGGCAAAGTTCCTTTCTCCAAAATGTATTGATGTGAAAGTGAAATGTGTGTGTAAAAGTGTATCCTGGGAGAGCTAATCTATGGGATATTAAAAGGGTATTTCATAAATATGTCCTGTTATGATACAATTAAAATTTAAATTTTATGAATTATTGATAGATAATAAGTTGATGCTGTTATGGTCTACAACAGTACTGGAGACAATTCTTAAGGTGTACAAGTTTACTGACAGGACCAACACACCTTTTAGAGTAATTCTGATATAAAGGAATAAGTACAGACTTCTCTTTGTCAGTTCCATTATTGGGTACAATATGTAAGTTTCATTAGGATATAGACTATCAACTGCCTTTCAGTAGTTTTATACAAAATTTCTCATGATCTTCATCAAATTAAATTGAATTTGTCACTTTAGCCACTGAGTCAAAGCTAGTGTTGCTGATGGGGATCAAAACTTCTATAATTGTACAATTTCTGAATCTTTGCAATATTAACAACAGTACGGATAATGGAGCCCCCAGTGGCGCAACAGGGCAAACCCTTGTGCCAGCAGGACTGCTGACTGAAAGGTCAGCTGTTCGAATCTGGGGAGTGGGGTGAGCTCCCATCTGTCAGCTCAAACTTTTCATGCGGAACATGAGAGAAGGCTCCCACAGGATGGTAAAAAACCTGGGAATCCCCTGGGTAACGTCGTTGCAGACTGCCAATTCTCTCACACCAGAGAATGCTCTCCTGACACACAAAAAAGTACAAATAATGGAGCACGCTGTCCTACGTATACATATCCTGCAGTCTTATATGAGTTTATTTTTTAGTTAGCATGCTGTAATCAGGTTCATTTAACAGGAGATTTTTTTGTTATTGCCACAACGCATCCTTAGAATGTGTAGGCTAAAGATTCTGGCATTGACCCCTTAATTACAATTTTCCACTGGTTAGCAAGCTAGCCTTGTAAACATTTAGGGGGAATTACCTCATACTCTTGGGAAAATTTCAAGTTGTCATTGGCCTTCAATCTCTCAATGTGATCTGCAAGTTCCAAAATAGGGATGGGTGGATGACTAGCCATACCTGTTGAAGGAGAGAAATGAGAAAAGCATTGAAAAACAATCATACCCAGGACCTGAAATCCAGACTTAGAATATATAGCAGTTAGAATGGCTAAAAATGTGTAAATAGTAAGGATGTTGTAAGGTGACAGAAGCAGGCATATAATTTAATTCACTCAAAGCAAAACATGCTCTGGAGAGATGAGCTTTGAAGCCAAATTACTAAAACAAATCAAACAAATAAAAACAAAATTCATCAAGCATATTTCCAAAGCTAACATTCCTAGTGTTAAAAGAAAGAAAAAAGTTATTATGCCAAGACTTAATGAAATTAGCTCGGTGGGGAAAATGAGACAGTTAGACCTGATGTTGACTTGCTTGAGTAATGACCCTGAATGTCGTATAAGACCCCTTTTCTTTTATTGTATGAAATGAAAACAGTGTGAACGGGACTAAAGTGAACAAAAGGTGAACTGGGGGCAAGGATAAACCATTCAAAGAGGCCTAAAGGGGTACAATAGTACTGACAAAAAATAAAGTGACTTATGGGGGAAACTAACTTGAAGAATGTAGGTAACTAGAGACATTTGATCCTCCAAAAAGAAAATGTAAAAAAAAAAAAAAGGAAAATAAAGTATTACTCAAATGAAATTAGAAATATGGATAGCTGGATGCCTAGAAAGTGATGATTTTGTTTCAAAGACTGAATAACCGGCTAACATGGGTTGACTAATTAAGACAAGGGAAAACTTAATGTTTGCTTTTTTTAAAAAAAGAAAAATATATTGTATAAATTTTTGGACATTTACATGCAATAATGGATTGCCACAATAACATGCACAGCTGCTTACAGACAACAGTCAATAAAAGACAAGATTAGACATCAGACATTTTGAGCTTCAAAAATGTTTTCACTAGTAGCAGATTGTAGAAGCAGGGGTTGTACAGACTTGGTACACCTGAACACAAACATCCACCTTATCCTAGTACCTCAAAGGAGAAAAAAAAAATCTCAACCCCATCCCTTTTCAACCCCCAGAAATTACCTACAATCTACTTCAGGTGTAAACATCTTTGTCTACCAATGGAAAAATAGTGGATACAGACAAGGCTGAGAGAAGGAATGAGAAAGAGACAAGTAAAAGGATACAAATGGTGGAAGGCTGAGAATAGAAGCTGAAAGAAGATATGTGGGGCCAACTAGCATGATCTGCCAGCTGAAAAAAATAGCTAGTCCATTCTTTGTGGATATTTCTTTGCAACCAATCAATATGCATGGGTTTTCCACCCACCAAAATGTTTTCCTTTATTTAAGCAGGCCTACAATAATACCTTGTTGCAGGGAGACACATAGTTGGCTAGAATATTTTCAACTAGCGAACCCCATGATGAATCGAAAAGATAAAAGAAAACCATGATAACTGGAGGGAAAAGTGGGGGCTCAAACTGGAAACTACGTGTTCTAGAGTTAAGGCTGTATCACCACCAAAATTTTGAAGAGTATTTTCTAAGAAAGCTACATTGCAATTATTGTAGGACAGTGTTACTTGCTAAGATCACAAAATGAGAATACAGATAATTCTGAAAATGGCTTCTGCAACATTTTTACCTAGCTTAATAGTCCATAGGAAGGACCAGCAGCATCTCATCTTTGTTTATGGTACTGCATACCATTGAGAAGTCAAAGTAATTGTATTGAATACTGTTGAGAAGCCAAATTAATTTTATGAATAATAGTTCTTTGCAATGTGTGGTCACTATAATACACTTCAAGATCAAGGGAATCTGAAGCAGACTCCACAATTTGTGGAAAACTACTTAAATGGGAAAGCTCCAGTCATTTCATTCATATATTTCCATTTTGATATCTCCTGTTTCATCAAATGCAACATTCAAGCTTTTGGCATTGAATGTTTGCCATTTTTGTTATACTTTGGAAACCGCCCTGAGTCCCTTCGGGGAGAGAGGGCGGGGTAGAAATAAAGTATTATTAAGCTGGAGAAAATGCTTCCAACATAGACATCATATTTATTTGATACCAATCCAGAACGAGCACCCCAATGGGGAAAAAGTAAATAAATAAATAAAAAGGCACAAGAAAATGCTAAACCTATTCAGGAATGGAAACTGAATGATGGAACATCTAAAACAGTGATTGAACAGAGAAAATAATAGAGACAAAGATGTTTAGACCTTTTCGAGCGAATCGTGGGAGAGAGTTATTATCATATAAGGACTGAGTGGTAGTTTGGCTAGAGAGGGAGGACACAGAGCCAATCAGGGAGGCGTAGGGGACTGAATTACTGCTCAAAGCTGTAAAAAGTAAAGCCAATTGGAAACGGAAAAGAAATTAGTAACAGCAGTAGAAGACCATCATATTCAGTCAGTTTTCACAGTGACAAATGCATCATCATCTTGCATGCACAATTGTTCTGGGTCTGTTCAGTCCTCAAATGAATAGGTAAGCATAGCAGACTACTGTAACTTATCCACATATTTGAACTATATGGTTGAATTTTTGGACCAGGTTACTTCAGAAAATTTCATATGTTAGTCTATAGTGCTGAATTTACATTTTAATGTTGGCCAGATGTTCATGGTTCTGCAGTCGTCCTGAAGTATTATTTAGAACTGAGAAATTACAAATAAATGATTTAAAAACTCAGTAAAATACACATCTATTCTAAGATAAGTACAATATCTTGAAAGGGAATGATTCACATAATCAAGTACATAGTACTATTTAAGAATATCAAGGTCCCCTTTCCTCTGCGGGTTTAGCTTTCATATTGCAAGATGCAACTAGATAAAGTGCCGTTTCCTATTTCTATTTATCAGCATCCTTCTGCAGTTTGAGGCTCATCTAGCAGTGGCATAAAATCATTTTTGCTTCTTCTTTTTCTTTTTAGCATAAGGTATATGAAGCTCAACTACTTCTATAATGAGCCATCCGGTAATCCTTGCACTGTATTATGATTAATACAAATCGAGTGTCTTTCAATATGTTTCAAAGTAATCTCGTGAAAAGAAATACATGGACATTTTTTAAAAGTCAGCCGGATAATATATCCCACACGCACCAACATTGTAAAGGCTTGTCTGCTTGCAAAGTATAGGGTTCGAATGTTCTGTCAATATGTCTTTTTAATTTTAAAACAAAAAAAATCTTCTTTAAGAATACATATTAAATCCTAATACTATGCTGGAACAATCACAGGGTCCTGGAGTGTATATCTGCAGATTTTTCAAGTAAAAATGCTACACAGTATGTGGAGGATAGTCTGTGTTGACAAGTATTTGTATGTTTCTCTGTGCCTTGGTATCATTTTTATTCATATATAGATGGAGGCTTCCCCTATATTTCCACAACACAAGGGAATCTCAAAAAAATTGATGCTATTTATGAACCCCCATTAGAACACAAATGGGGAAAATAAATTTAATGATGAAGAAATGCAATGCAATATAATGTGTACCTAATCCAAGCCAAATAGCAACAAAAATATAATGTCCCTAATTGTTTTAACTAATGTTTTATTTAAAGGATTGTATATAATGCTTTTTAAATATGTGTATTTTAGATTGTATCTGTGAAGTTCTAATGTATGGTGTAAACTGCTTTGGATCCCATACGAGAAAAATGCATGATATAAAATTAAATCTATTTATTTATTTATTTACTGTATTTGTATACCGCCTTTCTCAGCCCATAAGCAACTCTAAATCTAGTCATCTAAACCAAAGCTTCTTAAACTAGGGGTCATAACTCAAAATGGGATCTCAAAAAATTGGCCACACAGTGAAGAAATTACAGCAGCTGCTGCATCTGCTTGAAGCCTATATGGCAGCAGTAGCAGAAAGGTCTGGTGGTAAGTCCCAGTGCTTTTCTCTTCAGTCCTAGCTGAGGCCTCCAGAGAAAGAAACTGACAGATACACCTTTCCACCCTTCCCATATAGTTGCCACTGTGCAGGATAGTAGTTACTGCTGACGGAAGAAGAGGAGAAGATGGGGTCATCACTCTGAAGTAAGGAAAATGGGCCAAGATGAGGCAGCCAGTTGTTTGGATGAGGTGTCGGTCAGGGAAAGGAAGGGGAGATAGGTTAGGGTGAAGGGTGAAGAAAGAAGAAGAAGAGAAGGAAAGCCCTGTGAGCCCCTCTAGGGCTCACACGATTGTACCTTAATCTTCCTGCAGAGCTTAGCTTGAAAGAGGGTGGGCGCTACATATCCATGGATCCAACCATCCACAGCTTGAAAATATATCAATTTAAAATAAGGGACATAATTTGATTGCAGTATTATATATCATAGGACTTGAGCATTCACAGGTTTTGGAATCCATGGAGGGTCCTGGAGCCAAACCCCAACAGATACAGAAATCCAACTGTATTTTACTTAAAGGATTTGGTTTTTATGTGCTTGGGATTTACACAGGCAATATTATTATTGCTGTGGAACAGTTGACCCTTGATTTGTATATGTATTTCATATATCTATATACTCAAGGTTGTACAAACATTTATTTGGCAAAAAGGAGTCACGACTGAAAAAAGTTTGAGATGCCTTGCTCTAAACAATACTTAACACATTTTTATCATTCTATGCAACAAAGGACATGATGACAGATTGAAACACCTAGTAAGGAAATTATATATTGCTATGAGATATCATGTATTTTATGATTTTACCCCCAGAACTGAGTAATCTCACTCAGTTGGAAAAAAAACCCTTCCAAAATTATTCATTATTGAACACTAGAACTCAGTAAACAAAAGATCTGTATTCCTACAACAATTGTTTGTATTGGTATAATTTTAGTATAAAATTATAAAAAAAACACACTCCCCCAACATGATAAGTGTTTTCTAGAGATGGTGGTCATTTCACAACTTTCCCCCCTCCAAACTTATGTTATACAATGCCCTTTTCTAGTCATACTGAGACAGAACAATAAGAACTGAATTTCATAAGCGATAAACACATGGAATGCCAATTGGTATTTATCTTATAAACAAAATAAACAATTGGTCTTTAGATCTGAGAGCTCAATATTTACACATTTTCAGGCACTATAGAAACACACTTTAAGAACCAATTCCCCACTTTCTATCAAATAAATACACCAATGTTATCTTGGTGAACTTTCTACACACTACATATAACAGAGACCAAGTATAAGTGACAGTTGCCTGGCATATGTGTTATATATTATAGTTACATGGTGTCACAGTCAAAGTTCAGTAAGTTCAATAAGATAAACACTTGTCAGAATTAAGGCAATACAGTTGAACAGGAACCATGTTCTCATGAAAACCTCATGTCTATTTTTTAAATATAGTATTAAATGAAAATCTTTCTTTCAAATCCAAAGGATATGTGTCTAAAATTGGGTATGCATACAGAACTTCTTTGCTTTGACAATATGAAATCTTCTTGTGCCTTAATATGGTGTAAACTGGAATCAGATTAATCAATATTCCTTCCCCAAAAACCTGTCATTAATATATTGAAATTTAACTTTAAAGGCCAAATCAAATTGCTAAAATAACTTACCCCAATCTCTAATCTATGGAATCAAGTCTACTGCATTCTATCTTCAACATAATGTTTGGAAGGTTTGGGTTGAACTAAGATGTAATATCAACAGCACAGCAACCAATAACTATTATACTATATTTTCAGCCTGAATTGGATAGAACATATCCATAACTAACTGCATGCCATTGGGGAAATGTCCAATCATCAGTGATAAAGACTGGAAAGAACACAGGCCAAAGACTGAAAACACTTAACTTGCCAAATGTATTATTGTCCTTCTGTTCTGTATTACAATGGTTCCTCCCTATCTATGAATTCTGCGTCTATGGATTCAGCCATGCATGCCTTGGTATGGAAGGTAGATATCACCTTTGAAGAAAGGTGATGTCAGTGTGAAACACCACCCAGTCTCTATGAAAGAGAAGGTAGGGGTCATCAATCCTGAATACCACTAATTCTGAAGATTGGTGCACTGAGGTGATGGACACCAGAAAGGCCACCTTCCAGGGTAGGAGACGAATGTCCAATGTGGCGAGCGGCTCAAACGAGGCTCCTGAGATTTATGACAGCACAAGTTCGAGGCTCCAGTTGGGGGTTGGAGGGTTGATGGGAGTGGAAGTTGTTATATCGTCTTAGGAATGTGTTGATCAGGGGAATGATGAGGGGTGATAGATGATCCTGCTGCTACATGTACCACGAGATGGTGGCAAGGTAAGTCTTGATGGATGAGGGAGCAAGCCTTGGACTGACAAGGAAAGGAGGAAGCCAAGTACATTCAATACTGATGCTTTGGGTAGTGGGCCCCCTCAGGATTGAAGAAAGAATTGAAACCGGGAGACCTTGAAAGTTTATGACATCTTCATAGAGGGTTTGTGAGCTGCCTTTAGAATAGTGCTTTGTGCTGCTCTAGCGAGACACGTAGTTTGCCTGCCCCTCTCTTGGGTGATGGTCAGCAGTGGGAATAATTTCTGTCGAGCCTGAGTTTGTGTGGCTGGAGGCAGTAGAGGCTGAGTTGGGGCTCATATGACCGTAAGGGTCGAGCAGAATGAAGAGTCTTGGATCTCTCCACCCGACAATGGTTCCACCATCGAGCCCCATAATGAACTGATAGGTTGGGCTGGCTAGAGAGAAGATGGGGATCGTTGGGATGAAGCTGTTGGTGAAAAGGCTTGGTCTCTCATTGGTGAAGAAGAGGATGAGGTTTGTTGTACCTTTCTCTTCTTGGCAGCAGCTTGACTTTGTGAAGTGAGCTACGCTTTGAGTGATTTTTCCAGAGTTGGAGGAATCAAGAAGGAGGAGCTTGCTACAACTCCTCTACTTGGACCCATCTGGACTTTTCATGTGTGTGCTTGAATGCGATTCGCATAGAAAACATAGAGAGAGGTGTGGCTGTGATCAAGCAGGCTGATCATGCCAAGTCCATGGAGCTTGGGGTTGAGGGAAGCCTGACTGGGGTTGGGTGGCTAGGTTGTTCCATGTTGAGGCTCACCAGCCACAAGATCTTCGATGCTCAGGAAAATTTGGAGCCTTTTGAAGTGGCCAAGGTCAAAGGAGTCACTGATGGTGCTAAAGTCGAGTGGGCCATGGATGTTGAGGGGGCTAAGGACTGTTGGTATAACAGCACTTTTAGCCTGGGCCATGAAGGCCTGGCAATGATGGTAGGAGCCGACCACATGGCCCTCTCCGAGGCAGAGTAGGCATTTCTTTGCATGATGAAGAAGATATTTATGATAAATTCACTGCAGCTTTTGAGTATTTTGGGGTATTTTCAATGCTTTTTTTTCTTTTTTAACAAAAAATACAACATTTTGAACCATTTTTTCCTCTCTACTCCCCTTTTCACTTAACATCTTTTCATGTTATATCCTCAGGAGACAAGAGTGTTTAAAGTAAATTGGATAACACTGTAATCCATGGGAAAATAAAGATTTCTCTCTTTCTTTTAATATACTTGGAATGATCATATGGACCAAATAAGGTAATATAGTGCATTGCAGATTATTCAGTACAGTGTACGTGGCACTAATGAACAACATATATGTTTTGTACTTGACACGTGTACTTGCATAACTGTGTACCATGCTGCCATCACAGACATAATTGATGGGCAAGACCTTTTACTTCTAAATTTTCTCTTTTTCATTAAAATGCTGGCTCTCTCTGAACAGCTTATTATTCATCAAGTTTTAGCTGAATATGAGAGGTATTCTTCTCTTTTCAATCAATTAATGGGGAAGAAAATCCCTGTCCTGATGACTGTTAAACCAAGGCAAAGACATCAGTCTATATTTGTGTCATGAATTTTTTCATTGTTGACACAGGTAGAATAATGTCAATTTCAGCAACCATTTCATAGATTCTTGTCATAGATTAAAGAGCACAATCAATGAACTGACTTTCCAAAAGAGTTCTTGATGGAGTGCTAATAAGGATCTTCAATAACAACACCAAAATACAGAAAGCACGACTTACAAAATGTAGTTAGAAGGCTATTTCATTTCTGCTAATTACCCAAAGGATAATCCCACAACCTTTATTGTTGTTTCCTGTTGCATCTTTCCCCTTCTCTGTCAGGAGCTGATTTCTGCTGTTCCAAACAACATCATAAATCTTCTCCATGACATCTTGAGGCCAACAGGAGGTGTCAGAGAAGAAATGTCAAAAGTTATGGATGGACTCTTTCCCGTGGGAAAGTTGCAAACTGAGGAGGGAGGGAGCGAAGAGATCGGTAGAAAACCAAGAGGTGTTGGACGAAATCGCCATTAGCGTCTTCCTATAGCTGTGGAGATCCGAGCAATAAAAGCCAATTCCAAAAGAACCTTTTGTGAGTGGTCTTCGTTGCTGGCTAGATTCTGCAGGGACTGACATTTAGACACTAATCCATTTTATTACTGTTCCTCCTGAATCAACTGCAGTGAGAGCAGGATGTCAGAGTCAAAAGAATTTCAGGACAGTGGGGAACTGATTGACCCCCCCCCCTTCCTTTGGTGCGGCAGTGATGGAAGAGAAACTGCTTTACCCTTTTGGCGGCCCAGGAGAAATTGCAGATGGGGATTTGTTGTGAGACCCCAGCAAGACCCAAGAGGTGCCAGGGGGAGCTGTAAGGAAGAAATGAAGCCCCAGACGCTGATTGAAGGTGAGGAAACCCCCCAGAGGCGGCGTTTGATGGAAGCAAACATGGAAGCTACGGAAAAAATACTACAAGAGAAATCAGCTACTGACTTTCCTCTTCTCTTTCTGGCTAACCACAGTTTTCCTTCCCTTCTGCTGCTCTTGGACATAGTTAGGTGTTGCATGGATACCACCATAAAATGGGATTAAATTTGAATTAATCCCATTTCAAGCAGGATTTGAAGCCATGATTCAAAATTATTTTCAAATCCTTATATATGTGAAAGAAGGGAGTTAGAAATAGAAAACACAGGGTTTTTCCTAATTGATTAAACTCAGGAAATCCATACCACTTAATCTCTACACAAATCAACAGTCATGACCATTAAAGAAATATACATGTAAAAGAAATGTAATTGATTGGGTGCAAGTCCTCAGCATAAACCCTATTACGTAAAAAACATGTTTGTGAATTGTGCTTCCCTCAGTGCTCTGTCATTAAAATAAAGATCAATTGTAAGTTGCATGTCATTTATATCCTCCAAAAGTAATCATGTATTGCACAAATTATAGCACTAACTTATAATGATTCTGATCTTACCTGGAGTTTGAAAATTAAGGCGTCGTAGCTCAACTGGATCTGTGGGATGATGGGAAGGAATCTCCTTGTTATTGGGTATGCTGCTCTTTCTAGAGTCCGTCTCTGCCCTTTTCCTACATAGACAAAGTGAACATATGGACAAAGTGAACATTTGGACTAGATGGCCTATGTGACATCTTCCAATATGATTCTATATTTCATAAGAAGATTAGCGAAGAAGTCGTAACTCAAGAGAAATATATCTATTGCTTTCTTTGACTACTTTCATTCCCAAAGAAAGCAACAAGCAATTTTTGCAATTTCCTTCCCGCTTTCTGCTGTGAGTTTTTGAAAAGTATTTGTAGTGCGGGATGTATTAGATGCAAAATTCCCACAGAAAGCAATTTTTTGTATACAGGAAACAGTGCTATTTCACAGAATTTTTTTTCTCTCTGCAAAAGTACTTTTTTGGCCAAAACAGTGGTTTCCTCCAAAACATGTGGTTTTCTAAACAAAAAATTTGCTCAAAATAAATCCAGATCTATGAATATTCTTTTTAAAATCCTGGTTATCATGGTCTCCTGAGACTCAAAGAACATCCTTTTTGAACATTTAAAAAATATGTTTGAATATGTTTCCATTTCCAACTATGTCACTGTCCTTTAAAAAATACTCTATTTCTCTGAATCTAAGGTGCCATCGAACGTAAGGGGTACCCCATTTTAAAAGTTTCCATTTTAGAGAAAATATTTTTTTCTGAGAATTAAAAAAAATGTGTGCACAATGCCCTTTTTGTTTCAATGTGGCTTTGTCGTGCAGTCTTTTTTGTGGGGTAAAGATGGAATGTCAAGAAACCTGCAAACCATCTGTCTGCATCGTTCTATCAAGTATTAAGTCGATGGGCCCCTTGGGAGTGGAAGCAGAAAGCGGCATTTAGTAAAAATACTGGTAAACAGCTGTCTGGCTAAGGACAAAATGCTTGGGGTTGGCACAGCCATTTGAGGTTGGGGCTCTTCTTCCACCTCCCTCAGTTTTGCAAACAATAATAACAACCCCCCAAAAGGTGAATCTACGGTATCATTGAATCTAAGGTGCACCCCATTTTTGAAGCTCTCTAAATTGGAAAAAGGATGCTTTAGATATGATGAATTACAATATTTGTTCCAATTCAGTCAGCCCATGAAAATAAACTTATGTTTTTAAAAAGAATAACCTGTATGCCAAAACGTATTGCTTCAAACTAAAGAAAGATATAAGACATCTTTATGCAGCTTGTGCCTGGAGTCATCATTACAATAATGGATTTGCTTGGAAGGAACTAGCACTGTAGAAAGATAATGAGGCATGCCTAAACCTTGTTGAATGTTAAGTGCTAAAGTTTCACTAATGCCAATGAGAAGTTCTAAAGTTTCACTGATTTTGATTTTCCCTTGGATTAGCCAAGTGATGGCAATATCAGTATGTCTAGCATCCATATAAAACTACATCTTTCCTACTATTACTTATGGAGAGGGGAGAAATAGTTAAATAGAGTAACAGAAAGTGAAAGGCTAGTGAATGGTCAATAACTAGCAAATTCTTCATTTTTGACTACCAATATTTCAAGAAACATTGACGATATTTGGATAAATTGAAAATGTTTCCACTGTTACTTTATTTATTTATTTACTCTATTTATACTCTGCCTTTTTCTACCCCGAAGGAGACTCAAGGCGGCTTACATAGAGGCAATTATTCAATGCCTTAATAATAATAATAAAACTTTATTTATATACCGCTCCATCTCCCCAAGGGGACTCAGAGTGGTTCCCAAGTAATATCACAAAACATAGAGTAAAAACAACATAACCATAAGATTAACAAACAAAATATAAACATAAAAATTGTCGCCATAAGACACATTAAAAGTTATCCTGCCTGTTCAAGGCAATTGAAAATTTAAAAGGCCGGGCCAAGATTTGTGCAAGCCCCATAATTCTAAGGGGCCTGGGAATTAAGTGCAATGCTATGGCAGGCAACAATAATATTAGGTATGGGTCTGTGGCTATTCATTCCGGGGCCGATTAGAGGAAAGAATCTGGGTAACTGGTAGGAAGAATAAGGCTGTACTAGACAATGTGTGGGGCTGAGTTAGAACTGGCCATTTTCAAAGGCGTGTTGAAACAACCAGGTCTTCATGTTCTTAYGAAAGGAGGGGAGGGATGAGGCCTGTCTTATTTCCTTTGGAAGGGCGTTCCAGRGACGGGGGGGGGGCACCACTGAGAAGGCCCTCTCTCTCGTYCCCACCAACCGCACTTGAGACRGTAGTGGGACCGAGAGGATGACCTCCCCAGAAGATCGTAGAGCTCCTGCCGGTTCATAGAAGGAGATGTGATCGCGGAGATAGGTRGGGCCCAAACTGTTTAGGGCTTTATAGGTCATGACCTGCACCTTGAATTTGGCTCGGCAACTTATCGGCAGCCAACGAAGCTGTTTTAATAGGGGTGTTGTATGCTCCCTATAGTTTGCTCCAGTAAGGAGCCTGGCTGCCGCCCACTGTACCAGATCAAACTTCTGGGCCGTCTTCAAGGGCAGCCCCATGTAGAGTGCATTGCAATAGTCCAGTTTGAATATAACCAAGGCGTGGACCACCCTGGCCAAGTCAGACTTCACAAGGTATGGTCGCAGCTGGCGCACAAGTTTGAGTTGTGCAAAGGCCCTCCCAGCCACCGCTGACACCTGAGCATCAAGAGACAGTGTTGAGTCCAGGAGGACCCCCAAGCTACGGACCTGCGCCTTCACATACAATTAAAAAAATTAAATTAGATTAAAATTAAAAACATATTAAACATTTAAAAACATTACATAAAAATCATGCCATCAATAGTCGTAGTCCAAGCCATTCCATAGTCATTCCATATATTCTAGATCTCTTAATTGCACTGCAGTATTCTCTGAAGGCCTGATCCCACAGCCAAGTTTTTACTTTTCTTCTGAGGGCTAGGAGAGGAGAGGCTGACTTAATGTCACTGAGGAGGGAGTGCCATAGATAAGGGGCCACCACTGAGAAGGCCCTGTCTCTCATTCCCACCAGTCGTGCCTGTGAAGGAAGCAGGACCGAGATCAGGGCCTCCCTGGATGATCTTAATCTCTGAGATGGTTCATAGAGGGAAATACGTTTGGACAGGTAAGCTGGGCCAGAACCATTTAGGACTTTTATAGGCTAAAGCCAGCATTTTGAATTGTGCTGGTAGCAGACTGACAGCCAGTGGAGCTGGCGTAACAGGGGTTGTATGCTCCCTGTACGCCGCTCCAGTGAGGAATCTGGCTGCCGCCCATTGGACCATTTGGAGCTTCTGAACAGTCTTTAAAGGCAACTTGCTTATACGTTCATTTGCAGTAGATTTTCTAAGAGAATGTTTGCCAGTCAAGATACCTCCCTCTATTTGTTTTCTCATTTCATCTTTCCTGAGAAAACTAAGATTAATTGTTCTTAACTTCTCACCTGTCGGGTTTACTGCTCCATTATTATGCAGCAGAAAAGGAGAAAAAAGGTTAAATGTTAGTTGGGCAACGACAAACGAAGTAAGGTGTTACGCAATTGCGTTTTACAATTTGGATATTAAAAAAACAGCATAAATCATCTTAATATTCCCTAGTCATAGAAAATAAATAACAGCTAAGGACACAATGTCCATTCGAAGGACTTCATGGATGAAGAACTGAACAATTTAATTAGTTTTGTTTGGGAAGGATGTTCTATCAAAGTCATTCTCACTTTACCAGCTATTGTGTATCTAGGATATGAGAACTGCAGATTATAAATATTATTATGGAAGTATATTATTTGGGAAAAGGGGCATCGACATTTTCGAGTCCTGTAATTTCCCAGACACATGTTTGCATACAAGTCTTCGGCTGATGCATTTATTTACTATATTTATACCCCACCTTCTCACCCCATAGGGGACTCAAGGCGGTTTATATAAATAGGCAGCAATTTGATGCCATATGGACATACATAGTAAAATAAACAAAAACATTAAAAGTATGACATGCATAAATGAATCCCCAGCATTCTGTGCTACTTAAGAAAGGGGAAAACTTCCAAAAATTTTAGAGTTTTAAGAGGGTCAAGTGAAGAAATATACGATAGATCATAATAAGATAAATAAGTATGGAAAAACTTACTACAGAGGCTAAACACCCTAAATATTTTCGCTATCTAAAACATTGTATCTGTATCAATGTCTCCTTTTTTAATAACTCATTTTAATGTGGGATGCTACCATGATTTTATTTTTTTTTCTTATGAGTGCAATCGAAAAAGCTTTAACGATGGTATCCTTGTCTTCTCAATTCGTTGTCACTTTTTACAGCTTAAAAATAGAAATCACATTTGGCATTTTTTCCACTAGGAATTTCTTATTTCTTTGATTGCAAACACTTTCTTTGAACCAGTTCTCCAATTTCGCATAAATAACTGGGTTACTGAGTTCCATTTATACAGTTAAAAATAAGCACGTGTAACAACTTACAAAACTGATGTCGCTTTCCTAAGCAGTAGGTGGAAGTAATTCACATATACCACATGTTCTTTCCAAAATGGGTAAAAGTAATGTGTCCAGGGTCTGCTGATATCCACGCATAGAATTTACTACAAATAATAATTTCTGTTCATCTATGACGATGAAGGTACTGCCCCTCAACAAGAATTCTACCACTACACAACATTTTCTATCAACCTCCACATTTCTAGTGTTTCAGTAACTCTAAAGAGGCAAAGATGCTGAAGGAATGTTCATACATTAAATACAAGTTCCATGTGCCCAAAGTTTCAGTGCTTCACTCTATGTCAGTGGTTCTCAACCTGTAAGTCCCCAGGTGTTTTGACCTACAACTCCCAGAATCCCAGCCAGTTTACCAGCTGTTAGGATTTCTGGAAGGCCAAAACATCTGAGGACCCACAGGTTGAGAACCACTGCTCTATGTAATGAAAAAAATGGGAATGAAAGGAAATGTCAGATTCTTCTGGGAGGCAATGCCCTCATATGCACCCCAAAACTGCACTTCTGTCGCTCATTAAATTATTTGTAAATGGTATGCAAGCCAACCCTGGTTATGAAAATAGACAACAAATTGTTAACATCAATTGCTAAAATTATACTGATTGTTGCTATATTTAATTGTTTTCCCTGTCCCAATGATTGATCTAGTTATCAATTAAACGCTGGCCCTACTAATTCGTTTTAATACTATGCTAGTAATAGAAATATTTATTGCAATTGGCTCCCTCACAGAATCCCAGGAACTGTAATCTAATGAGGTGCTGATAAATCAGTTCTATATTTACCATCCTCTGCTTTTTTTACTTATTTGTTGAAAACTATCACGAAGTTCAGCCCAAATCTCCAGTGTTTCTTTGCTAAGAAGAAACAAAAACTTTCAGCATTGCTGACCTTCTTATGGCTCAGAAGTCATGAGTGCTCAAAAATAATTGTCCAAAAATATTACATATTTCCATCATAAGAAAGAACTGCTTGGGCACTACTTGCCTATAGCAAAACAAATTCAAAGTTTATTGGCAAATAGGAAAACACATCCAGAGTGTAGATTATTAAAATATGTTATAAATCATTTTCTTCTTTTTTTTTATCAATTCTACCTCCCCCCACCCACTCTGCTGGGTTTTGGAAACAGAGTGCAGCAAACTATGCAATGACTTTTTCAGTGAACACGTCATGGTTCCCAAATCTGAGGTGCTTGCAGTTGAGGTGCCTGCAGATAAAGCTATAAAAGAGATTTCTAGTCTTCCTTGTAAACCATAAAGGGGAAAAATCTTGTAGTTTTCAAGCCATGTTCAACTGTGTGATCTAGTTTCCACCTGATTTCAATTAGCCATCAATTCTGAATAATTTATATGGCTACCATCATTAAGCGAAAGTGCAGCAGAATTCCTTTGAAATATTATGCCTACAGTCATGTAGTAGGAGGATGCAGGCTCTTATTTTGTAAACTATTTTGTAAACTTACCTTTTATAAAGTAATATGGCTATGACAATACAGATGATAAAAACAACAGCAAGAACCGGTCCTACAACCCAAATCAAGCCTTCTTCTTCTTCTGTAATTGGCTGGGGATTAAGATCCACTGACACAACTGTTTCAGAATATGGGCTGGTTGCATACATAGTCTAGAGGGAAATAAGATAAGGCAGGAGAGAGAAAAAATGTTATAAGAAATAGGTTTCTTATGAATTGAAGCTGAAGCAGTGTGCTCCAGCTTTCATGCTCAAAGCTTTTAGTTCTATGATTAATTTCTGTAACAGTTCCAGGATAAAAGGAGAAAAGGAGCATCAGATGTTCATTGTCAAATACACCGACAAGTAGGCAAGTAAGCTGAGCTAAAAGCTCCTTGTTGCAGTGAGGACAACAAAACTTTCAGGAAGAAAGAGATACCGGGAAACAACCCATTTACTAGAATTAATTAAGCTCAACAGGTTTCAACGTGCACACACATGCCAGGTTTAAGAGCCAATTAGGAATATATCAAGTCACTTATATGTTAAAATGTTAATGTCTTCCGCTATGCCTTCCCACAATCCTCTTTCCATCCCTGCTTAATTATTTTTTTAACCAAACTATATTACACGAAGTTAAAACAACTCAAGCATTAAAGGGACATAAGAGATGAATTACATAAGAGCAAAAACCACAACTCATTATTTAGATCACCTCAGGAATTCTCTTTTCTGTTACATTATTTTCTTAGTCTGTTACATTTCACTGATAAAGTCAGTAGCAAATTACTATAATTAAAGAAGCTAGCTGTGCATGTCCTTGATTAGTTCCCTTTTCCCAAAGATGTTTGGCAGTGAGCAACAATGTCTGAGCAATGTGTCTCAAGGCAACGAAGGACCTTCTTTTAGAGGCATCATAAAATATCCCAATATGCCTGAAAAACACCATATTGGTGTTTTTCATGCCTGAAAAACACCAATATGGGTTTTCAAGAAGCAAAGCATATGAGTTGCACTGGATACAAGAAGTGATGATTAGGATAATTATAGTAATTATATTCACTGGAGGTATTGGGCCTCGGAATGTTTTTCTGCTGATTTGATGTCTATAAGGGTAACACATACACAATGAAAAATCCCAACTCCTTAAAGCTGTCTGAGTGGATAGATTATATTGCAAACATATTTTAAATAAGTGAGTGTAGTAAAACTACTGAGGACCTTCACATAAGAAAACCCTGTAGAATCCATGGGGTCGCCTCAAGTTGACAGGTGACTTGAAGGCACAGAGACACATACTTATGTATATTGTCTTTAGACCAGTAGTTCTCAACCTGTGGGTTTCCAAATGTTTTCACCTTCAACGACCAGAAATCCTAGTAGCTGGTAAATTGGCTGGGATTTCTGGGAGCTATAGGCCAAAATGCCTGTGGACCCACAGGTTGAGAAACATTGCTTTAGACCATATGTCAACATATGTACAAAGCCAAACAGAGGGCGCATCTACATTGTGGAATAAATGCTACTTGGCATCATTTTAACTGCCATGGCTCAATGCTATAGAATCCTGGGATTTGTAATTTGGTAAGAAGTCTTTAGCAGACATGACTAAAGACTTTGTAAAACTACAATTGAGCCTAGCATTGAGCCATGGCAGTTAAAACAGCATTAAACTGCATCAATTCTACAGCATATCAACACGTAGAGTCAAGATGCAGAACTCGTGGTGGGTCCACTGTGGCTGCATTTTGGTAACCCATGAGTTTTCTATACAGCAGGCTTAATATGGGGCCCATATTAGGAAAAAAGTAGGGCATAAATGAAATAAATAAAACACATAGAGAAAGTGCCAGAGATAAGCAAGGGCCCTTCTAAATCCAAGAGAAACCAGGATAAAAGGGGGGAGGGATGGTGGCTAGATGACACTTGTTGAAAATGTGCCAATTCGCTGCATTGGCTGAGGGCTGTAAACAGATGGCTAAAGGGAAGCACAATGGAAAGCAATTCCCATGAAAACACTCTACAACCACTCCTTTGTTCTCATATTTATGAAAGAGCTTGAATTTACACAGCAGGCACCACTATGGCAAGCATGTGACCCCAAGGAGAAGAAGGGTTTAAGAGGGCATAAAGGAAGCAGGAGGGTGAGGAGTGTTTATTTATTTATTTATTTGCCCTATTACCATCTTTCTCTACCCCAAGAGGGATTAATGGCAGCTTACATATGGCAATTATTCAATGCCTTAAACAAATACAAACACTAAGCTTAAAATCAATTGAATTAAAATTAATACATATTAAACATTTTAAGATTACATTCAATATTAAAATCACGCCATCCAAATAACAAGAAATTTGCTTGTCTGCACATTCATATATCTGCATCAGCGCTTATGAGGTCCAGCGCATCTCAGAGCATTAGTAGTAATAAAATAAATTCAAAGAAAACTTTTGGCAAATGTCCTGCACCCATTTTGTGGATTTCTAAAATCCACTACAAATAAACCTTTCAGGGCACATGGGGAATAATTGTTGGGATTGAGAGCTCCGTGTTTGGACTTGCTTTCAGGTTCCATGATTTTTTGCCCTACTTCTTAGTCCTGGATTATACAACTGTCGGGAAGTGCCCCCAGTCAACCTTTTTGATAAGCATGACTTTACACATTATACATCTTTATCCTTACAGAAGATGCAAAAAAAAAAAAAAAAGAAAAAGAAAAAAAGAAAGCACATCAAGAAAAATTACAACAATGTCCAAGGGGTACAATTAGGAACAGATCAACATCTATAAACCTGTAGCCAACTTACAGATTCTGAGTGTTCCATAACAGCTAAAATAAAGACAACATATTCCTGGCCATTCTGGAGCTGCTTGTTCTCAAATCCACCATACAGTTTCTTATCTCCCAGGGTGAACTCAGTAGGAAGAACGTCAAAGTGTGCTGCAATATATGGCTTTAAATCCACTTCTCTTCCCAAACGAATGCTTCTGCGCTTCCGTGCTATCTCCTTAAGTAGCTTTAGGGTAGGAAGAAAAAGATATTGAGATGGATAGAAGAAAATCAGAAAGATAAACAAAACTGATGTAACTCATTGTCAGGCTGATTAAAAATCAGTTGAATCCTTGAAATTATAAAAATGCAATTTATCCTTATTTAGTACCAAATCTTACGTACAATGAACTTCAAATCTATATGCATTTACATGGGAGTAAGTCCTATTGAACTCAATAGGGCTTACGTTTTGAGCAAAATTGTAAAGGGTTGTCCATAAATCTCATTGCTACTTATTGTCAACAACAAATGTTCTCCATCATCAGACAAGAGAAACATAGATTGAGTCTAAATACATAAATGTTTTGCGAATGTGGCTCATTTGACACAAAATGTTTATAGAAATTGCTTATTTATATTGCTGTATGCAAAATTAGAAATAATTACTATAATTCATTTACACTTCACAGACAACAAAGTCAGTCAATAAATTTGTTAATTAAATAAACTAAAACAACCTTTGAATTAATTTGCACTCCATTCCAGATCATCCCAAATCATTAGATCCTTTCAATACAATTAATTTGCAATTATGTTGCCAAATGAAAAACTGACAAGAGGGATGTTTTTTTTTTGGTTTTTTTGTTAATCTGCACAATTAATTCAGTTCCAAGCCAAATCGAAACTGTGATGGCCACTTCAAATATGTGCTGCAGCATGAAGTAAAGGATATGCATTTAAAAAGATTTATGTCCTTTAATGTGCTACAGCACATCCCACTACACCTCGGATCTGAGGGTGAAATCAGCTCAGCAGAATGTAGACACCTGAAATTGATGATTCGCTTTGTAGAATTCAGAATGTGAGAGTAATGAGGTTGCAGAAAAATGCTAGCATGGCTGGCTGCAGGAGGCTAACTGACGGGGGGCGGGGGGCAGTAAAATTGATTACCTCCACTCCTAACTGTCACTTTCCTTCCCTCCCCCCCACCTTCCATGCTTCTAGAGAACTGACACACAATCAAAAACAAATCTGTTAATGCAATCACCTTCCTGGCCTCAAACCAGCCCAAGACCTCTCAATCTAAACACCAGTTCCTCCCACAGTGGTTCCAAGATGCATTCCAGTATTAGTGTAGATGTGTTCAGAGAGATTAAGAGGAACTGGAAATTTAATCATAAACCCACATACATATTCACTTACACATACACGAATATAAAAAATCCCCACCAAAACTGAATTTCAAGAATTTCATTGAGTCAAACACAAGCCAATGGTACACGTGCTAAACTTCCCAATTTCTAACCAGATCTTATTACAAAATTTGAGCATTCCTCCTTAAATTAATTACCCTATCAACCACTATTTGTTATTTCCACAAATCAAATTGAAAATGTGATCAACTAGAGAAAGTTCTCAAAAATTGACTTTAAGGATATTATCATACTGAGTGATTATGGTTAAATCAGAAGAGTTCTTGAACCCAAGAGTTGTACATGAAAAATATATTTGATGTAATAAAGAAAGAGATACAGCATGATAGCGATAAAATGATATAAATACTAACCTACTAACAATCTAAATGAAAATTGTAGAACTTGCTTAGTAGATATTAATAATAAATAATTTAAGAAAAGATTTAATGTGAAATAATCTGTTATAAAAAATTAAGATCAATTTCCATTGAAAAAGAGCTGGAAAAGAATATATGAAGACCTGGAGACAATTTGAGAAGAAATAAGAAGATACAACCACTTGACTTAAAATTAAAATTGTTAGAATCCTCAATATTTTATGAAATATGTATTAAAGAAATAGAGACGAAGACTTAGTTGTATCAATGATAATTTTGTAAAAGAACTCCTCATACCTCAAAAACCCTCACCCTCTTTGTTTTTAGTTTGCTACATTTTAGACATTTGTAAAGATGCAACTAACCAATAACTAATCTATTATCCTCTAATTTTTCCTTTGCCTTCCCCTGTCCCTACACCCTCCATTCTCCTAGTAAATGTTTAATAAAAATATGATAAACTATACAAAATTCCTTGCCAGGTATGTGTGAGAGGGAATAGTGGGAAAAGGAGAGCTATATACATTATGGAGTATAATGCAAGTTAAAGAAACACGGGGTGGGGAAAATAATAAAACAGAGTGTAGGAAAGAAAGAGGAAAGAAGCAAATTTTGATGTTGTATCAGTACTAATCATAGCTGAGGCTGACCCTTATCAAAGTCAGTTCTAAGCCCAAAATGATGGCTTTGAAGCCTGGTTGATGAAATGTCTATTATTAGAACAGCCATTACAAAACTAAGTGAATAAATAGTGCAGACATATCAGTGATTACCAGTGATAGAGGCGTTGTTTGGACACCTCAGGTAAAAGCGAGACAGATCCCATGTTTTGTGCCTGCCTGGTCCTTCCAAGCAGGCACAAAACACGGGACCTGTCTCACTTTTACCTGAGGTGTCCAAACCATGCCTCAGTAGAAAGCAAATTAATGCAGAGAAATTTTGGTTTTCCCAGTTTGCTCCGCAATAATTTGACACCTGGAAACATCTGGACTAAGCTAAGGTCTAGATAGTTCCAGGTCCTGGTAATGTGGGGACTGACTCCTGGGACTGCTTCTGCAGTCCCAGGGATCAATCCCAACAACCATCCTGGCTCTTCAGGTTCTTGGAGCCTGAAGGAGTGGGAGGGTGCCCATTGCTCCTTTCCAGCGCCCCTTCCCCTCCAAAAAAATTTACCGGAGGGGCCTGCCAGCAGCAAGGCCCCTCTGCTCAGTACACATGAAAATGCTGGGTCAAGAGGGTCAGTCTGATACTGTGAAAATGCTGGGTGAGGAGGTGGTGGGGGGAGGGATTTCTCTCCGGCCACTTCCTGATGTCATTTTCATGCATCAGTACTGTGCAGGTACCTCTGGTTAAGTTTTTTTGGGGAAATGGGAGGCTGGAGGGGTGAGCACCGAAGAACTGAGATGGTTGAGGGGATTAATCCCTGGGACTGCAGAACCATTGGACAATCCAAGATGGCATCTAGTCATCCCTCAAGGGAAAGCCCAGGGTTTGGTTTGGGGACAGAAACCAAAGGTTTCTACCATGTCTGGAAGGGCCCTAAGGCATAAGTACAAACTAGACCAAGAATCACTGTAGGAAATTGTTATTCACTTGTGTAGTTCTTTATTTGTGGCTCCTGTCAATATCTCATATACATACTAATTTGCATCAATGAAAATATCTTCATTCATATTTTATAGATAGATTATGCTGTTGTCATATAATATTACTATCATACATATCCTCTGAGGTGTTCCCCCCAACTCCATCAAGACTAATTTGAACAGCAGTGAACTAATAAAAGTATGCTCTCAAATACCCTTAAAATCAAATTAATAAGATACTCTTTTCCATTTCAAAACAATATTTAGAAATTCATTTTGTGATTGCTATGGGGCTCAGACTTACATTCTTTTTCCATATAGATGATAACTTGTGTATGCTGAAGAATGGATTTCTTTTTTCTTTTGCAATCATCATAAATACAAAGTGGTTTGAAAAAAAGAAAAATGAGGAAAGTAGTGATAAAAATTAGAAGCCCTTATCCAGAAATCCAAAACCCTTCAAAATCTGAAACTGTCCACATGGGTGGCTGATATAGTGACATCTTCATTTTCTGATAGTACAATAAACACAAACTTTGTTCATGCACAAAATTATTAAAATATTGTATAAAATTACCTCCTGGCTATGTGTGCAAGGTGTATATAAAACATAAACAATTTCATGTTTAGAATTGGATCTCATCTTGAAAAATATCACTGTGTACAAATATAGGCATTCCAAAATACAAAAAAAATACAAAAATAAAGAAAAGAAATCCAAAATAATTCTGTCCTAGCAGATACTCAACCTGTATTTAGGAGGAAATGCTATATATTGTGCAAATATTTTTAATTAATAAATAAATACATACATCCTGAAATGTGAAAAATGGGGGGAAATTAAATTTCTGGCCTTTGTCCTTAAGATGAGTTCTCTGTTCATTTACACTTAATTACATATTTCAATATGCTACTGAGAAATTCATTTTCTGCTATTAATTGAAAGTGAGGTTTGCACACACTGCTCTATAGAGCCCTATATTACTTAGTAATGCCATTCTGTAGCCAAAATCTATCTACTTTTTAAATGCAGATATAAGTCATATTCAGCAAAGATCCTTTTCAATGTTTACTAGAAGTTTCTTGTTTGGAAGTATGCTACTGCTTCCTATTTATTATTATTGGGAGATTCATTTGAACAGTAGGTGTGCAAAATGTGAAATATCCATTTCATTTTGAGATACAAAATTAATATGCTCCATTTTGTTAAGTGTTTCCAAACAATCTTAAGGGGTCTGTTTTGTTTCACCAAAACTCTTTAATATTTTGTTTTGTTATTCCTCCCATTCGTGCAAATGGGAACACTTCAGGGGCTTGTTTCTCTGTAATTTTTATGGTTATCAGGATGAGACTTGCTACACCTAAAGGGCACGTTTACCACTGTAAGCCCCCTTCTCCAAGTTTCAAAATGTTTCACTCATCCACTGATTTCTGAGAAACCTTTAAAGTTTTTACGAATAACATTAAAAAACCTACAAGAGCTATTACCTTTAATTTGTGTACAATGACATCTGTATAGGGAACCATTCCTTCAAAGTTTCAGAAAGATTTGCACATCCACTGATTTTTAAATAACTTATTTCCATTTCAGCACCTTGGCCACACTACTCCTTAGTGAATCCTTTGTAAATGGACCCCCCCCCCCAAAATATGAATCCTAGCAAATAGAAAACCTCCATGCACACAAAGAAAACAATCCTAAAGGGCTCCTAAGCTGTGGCTGCAGTGCCTGACTGCTGGTTGCTGGCTGCTAGGCTAGCAAAATGATCCTAAAGGAATTCTAAGCTGTGGCTAGCTGCTGCTTCTGGCTGGCTGTGGCTGCTAGATTAAAAAGCTGGCGGCTGCATGCAAAAGCATTGGAGAACA